AGGCCATACGCCAGTTATATGTCAAACCCTAATTGAGAAGTACATGGTAGAACTTAGAGAAGTCTGAGATTGAAGCTGTTTTAAAAATAACAATCAAAATGTTTGTAAAAGTTCATAAAACTGTTAGCATAGTTTCTATGACAATCAGAGAGCGTGTTTACAAATAAAATTGCTGTGTACTTATGTTAAACTCAATCTCGAAGCAAGTCTGACATGAATGCTTCACATTGGTTACATTATGTTCCAGAACGGAAAGTCGGGAAAAATATGATGAAATCAATATGTCAATTACCTTAAGAAACACTTTATCTTAAGAGACCTTTGCGTATCAAAAGCAAAAAACAAACATAGCTTAAGGTAACGTCGTCGTTATCGTCACCGCAAAGAAGAAAACCAGTTTTCATCATGCTCCTGAAGAGAAAACCGAGTAAAGCATGATGAAAGTAAAACAGTCATATTTCTACCACCTGAATTAGGTCCCCAGGACATTCTGAAGGAGCAGAGGAGAGGGCCTTCTGACTGATGATAATATTGCTGAATGCTTCGAAATATAAGGTGTTTGATTAACTCTTTCAAAAAAACCTTTTGACTTTTGCCCAAACTGGAAAACCCTTTGCTACTTGAAAAACAAAAAACAGTACTTTCCTAAACTAAATTGAGTAAGGAAAAAACCCCTTGGTTTTTATCAAAGCTAGAAAACCCTTCGACTCTTTCTATAGAACGCTTTTTAGCTTTTTTTGGTCAAACAGAAAATCCCTTAGGGAAAATTTTCTACAAAATGTTTGGTTATTAAACCCTTTCTGGTTTTGTAAAGTAGGTGCTAAACCATTTTGGGTTTAGTACTGTTGTTCCTAAACCCTTTCGGTTTTTCAAAATACGCTTTTTTTTCTAGAGAGTAGTACTGTTAAACAAGAGAAAGCGAAAAAGTTCGTGTTTATTTTGACGAATTTTTTACATATTTCACGATTGCATGTTTGGGGAAAAACCCTGAAATTACATCTGTGTAATGTGTCACGAATTACGCATGCTATATTGTTTACTTCATTAGGTTTCACACCGAAAACTTGTAGGAAGTTTCTAATGTAAGCAATTATTTATACATAACGACATATTTCAGATTCAAGCATATAGTATTCAGTCAAAAGTGTTGCAGGTGAGTTAAAACTACAACTAAGAGCTATGAAACAAGAACGAGTTCTTGTGAAACATCGGCGTCTTCCTGCGATTGTCTCGTGACTAGACTCAGTTGCTATTTCTCCTCATTTCTTATGTTAACGCCAAACTCGCGTCACATGCCCTCGTCGACCACAAATGAACCCTTTATAGAACTATTTAACTTTAAAATACATGCAAAAATATTATCGTTACCTTTCTAGTTGTGAGAGTTTCGACGCATGTGTGTACTGAAGAAAGAAGAATCTTTGAAAACTTTCTGTGACAAACTTTTCTGCGAAAATATTTGAAAAAAGAACAAACCTGTATCTAACGAATAGTTATCTTTTATCTTTTCGCATGTGAAAACATCTGTCTGCATACTACAATTAGATGTGTAACAGCCTACCGTTTAACAATAAATGATCACTGCAAAAAAGAAAAATGAGATGTCCTGCCAGAAGAAACCGATATATAGATAGAACAGTTGCAGACAAAACAGATAGATTAAACTATTAGTGCTCTAACTGTCTGTGTCGTACTTTAGAAGTTTTGTAGTTTCCTCGATCATTGCACAACTCATCATCAACACGAAACTCAGTATGTCCAAGTCAAGTTTCAGACCTCGATTTTTTTGTCGTTTTTGGAAGTTGTTAAAATCTATCCAAACTTTCATTTTAAAACGAATAAGAAAAAGAATTCATATCTTCCGTTAACATCTAAAACGTTTCGTGGCTCATGATATTACAACAACTCACGCCATTCGACATGTGACAATTTTTTACGGACACTCTAAAAACGAAGATCATCTGAAAATAAGATATATACATCAGGTGCCAATTAGTTGGGTGCATCGATCTTAAAAATAAGATGGAAGAAAGTATTCTATTTTACGATATCCAGCTTATTTTAGTCGTAGTTAAAGTCTTGAAGGGACTTCATAGCTCTAATAAGTATGACCATGACTGTATCTATAAGGTATAGAGCTACCTTGATGGTTGAAACAGAAACGAAGAAAAACTTAGTGATTTATTTTTAAAAATCATCGTTGTTTATCTAGAGTGACAAACGCAAAACAAAAAAGATGATTGACTTCACCGTCTAGAAAGTAAGACGGATGCGTCGGAATTAGCTGAGGGCATCTTGTACATAAAACAGGCTGTTTAAAATAAGATAGATAGATAGATTGTGTTAAAGTAAGAATGAGAAAAAAAGTAAGACGCTTGTCATAAGATGGCTCTTTTTTTAGAATGTGTGAGGACAAGTGCATCCAAATGCGTGTTTGGCCCAAAAGTGATGGTGCTCATACACAAATTTTACTAGAGAAAATAATGAAAATAAAAATATCCTTATATCAAGTCACAGTGATTTGTACTACTCTCTAATTCACATGATGTACTGATTTGATACAGACAGTAAAACACTGAAGAAGAGGACATATTTATTTTCGTTCGATAATGGCATACTTCCAAGAAGCCTGTTAACTTAAAAGAACTACATGCACAGAGAAAAGTAGATTTTGTGGATCTTTTCCCGGAAAAACAACTTAGATAAAAATTTAAATTCTACATTAAAGAAACTTGTGAATCTCTTAAAAACGTTTTCTTTAAGTTTGTAAATAAACGGTATGTTATCTTAACCTACATTTTTTAGGTTTTCTAGAAAAAACTTTTTTCATTCCATTATTATGGTAACTTTAATTCTGTGCACTATCCTGCTTTCTATCCTTACCGCTTATTATTGCCATCTGAAGCGGTGTTACAAATTTTTTACCAATTTGAATATCAGCGGCCCAAAACCAATATTCCTACTTGGAAACTTTTTGGATTTTATTAAAACACGTCGGATATCCCTGTCAATTAAATTATGGGGTGAAAAATATGGTAAACTCTATGGTTATTTTGAAGGACACACACCGATATTAGTATGCTCGAACCCAGATATATTACAAGATATATTTACTCGACACTTTTCTAACTTTCATGCACGTCGTCAATTCCCACTTGAAGAACGAAAGACAGATTGTCATTTGTTCAGTGCAATTGGTCAATGTTGGAAACGTCAACGAACAGTAATTCATCCGACCTTCTCTTCTTTGAAAATGAAACTAATGCTTCCATTAATTGATTCGTGTGTTAGTAGTTTAATGGTTAAATTAAACGAACATTATATGAAGAATCAAGCGTTCGACATCTATAAGTTATACAAGTGTCTAACAATGGATTTTATATGGAGATGTGCTTTTGGCGAAGATACAGATATGCAAAATAACCCCAATCATCCATATCTTGTTCGATCACAACGAGTGTTCGATAGTGATCAAGCAACACATTTTGCAACAATACTGACACTTTTCTTACCGGAATTACGACACTTATGGTTAACCATACACAAAATAACACATTTCATTAAATATTTCATTCGAGAACAAGTACCATTGTTAAGACAATTTATAGAAGAGGATCCAAATGTATGGCTTAAAAGCAATGTGAACACATTTGTTCATAAGAAACAAAATGAGAATGAAAAACACTTTGATTTATTGAATTTAATGTTGGAAAAAGTAAAGGTTAGTTAAGACTTAAACTGCAGAGTAGTATTAAGAGAGAACGAACATAAGTCCTTAGATTCCGATATAAGCGTTTAACGAGTTTATATTTTTAGAATCAAGATTCTTCACACATCAAGAATGACGAACCTTATCTAACATTGGATGAGGTGAAACAAAATGTCTATTTATTCATGGTGGCTGGATATGAAACAACTAGTACAGCACTTGCCTATCTTTCTTATATTTTGGCTACACATCCAGTTGAACAAGAGAAATTACAAAAACATATCGATGAATATTTTCCTGGAGACTGCAATCAAATAACATCAGACTTGGAAGTATTGCAAAAAATGGAATACCTCGATTGGTTTATACGAGAGACGTTAAGAATGTATCCGATTGCTCCTTTAGTCATTAATCGTCAAAGTTCCGAACCGTTTGAACTAAAAGACATTGGTGTGATGCCCGCCGGTACACGGATAACTATTGACATGTATGCATTGCATTATGATTCCATTTTGTGGGGACCGACCGACCCACATATCTTTTGTCCTGAACGTTTTGCAACAAAAAGACATCCAATGGCTTGGTTTGCCTTTGGTCAAGGACCAAGAAAGTGTGTGGGCATGAAATTTGCCATGGTTGAATTAAAAATAACTCTTATTCATCTTTTGAAAACTTATTCCGTTTTAAAATGTGAGACGACAGAAGCAGAATTTGAATTAGTAGAATTAGTATCGGTTGTGCCAAAAAACCTAAAGATAAATTTAAGTCGTCGTTAAGATGATTATATTACAGGCAGGGCACGATCCTTTTTCTTCCAACAGATTTTTCTAATTACTTTAGTAATTATTCGAGCTTACCTAGTAGACTCAATGGATTATTTAAGAGAATGCAAAATAGTATTCTAAAACCGGTGATTATCTGCTAGATTTTTGTA